TTAAGTTTTCTGCTTCAGGACTCAAATGAACATCATCAGGGAAATACAGTTGATCCCGCCAGTTGATAATTTTACGATAAGTTTCATGAGCATTTTCGCTACAAAATGGTGGATAGCCTACGAGACATTCAAACATGATGGCACCAAGTGACCACCAATCACATTCTTGACCATAACCTTGTTGTAAGAAAATTTCGGGTGCAATATAATCTGGTGTACCGACTGTGGAATAAGCCTATAAAATTAGATATAAGTCAGAAATGTTCTTATTTAACGCGTATAAATATCAAGTAACATTAAAGATCAATACCAAAGCTCTTCGATTTTTCTTCCATGTGGCGATCCTATCTTTACTAGATAATGTTAAATTGATATTAGCCTCACTGCCTAATTGCCTATGACCGGATGAACTATTAAGACTTCCATCCAAAAGTCTTTGGTAATATGCAGAATCGTGTGTTCGGTGAAAACCAGTAGATAGACCAAAATCGGATAATTTGATATGACCATCTTTATCAATCAAAATGTTATCTGGTTTTATATCTCTAAATAATTAAACATTGTGAATTTGATTAAAACGTCTTGTGAATAAATAAATAATTAAATATATATATATATGTAATGTGTGTCGTTTGCTATTGAAATCAAGTTACGAGATATAATAAATCATAAGATCCGAATATGATTTTAATAGCAAGCCTCTCACATATGTATTATATTTGTATATATGTATGTATATAAATATAAATATAATTACCGATGAATGAAATTTAATTTATGAATTGCTTCAATGGCTAAGACACATTCTGCGATATAAAATCTCGTTACATCCTCTGAGAAGGTATCATATTTGATCAACATTGTCATCAAATCGCCGCCAGGTAAGAATTCCATAATGAGATAGAGATATGACGCATCTTGAAATGAATAAAATAATTGCACCACCCATGGAGAATCAGATTCAGCAAGAACATCGCGTTCAGCTTTAACATGCGCTAACTAAATAATATCATCAAATTAATAAAATTAATAATATTAAAAAAAAATGTAATGTTGCATTATAATAAAATCACCTGATCTTTTTTAAACATGTCTGCTTTTCTTAACGTTTTCATCGCATATATTTTACCTGTATCTGCTTTTTGAACCAATCGAACCTAGCTTACAATTAACATAACATACATTTTAGTATAAATTTATAAGATTTCAACCGATCTAACAGTATGTGCGTATATTAACCTTCTAAATTTTGACATACCTCACCAAATGCACCCTTACCGATTACTTTGACAGTAACGAAATCTTCCAGTCCTAATCTAGTCCTTCGAAGTCTCAAGAAAGAAGATTCCTTTCGTCCAAGCGATTGAAGTTGTCTGTTCTTTCGTTCATCTGAAATGTCTTCCTTTTCAAGTTTTTTTTCAAGTTCATTACGTCTAGATAAATAGAAATTATAAAATTATTAGATCGACTAGTGATGACAATGGACGTTTATATTTTTAAATGCAAAGTCGTTTTAACATCTATTTTAGTAAAAAAAGATTCACTTGCCGGTCGTTACGTTCTCTTGCTTGATCCAACGTAACCTTATAGAAGTGCTCTAATTTTAATTTCGCAGCAGTAGATCTGTCTAAGGTACCTTTGGAAAAACCGTCGGTAGATCTATCAAAAACCACGTACTCTTGTCCACCGTTGCCACCAAAGCCACCTGAAGACGGTGATCCTGAATTTTGCATATCATAATCTGCCATTTTTTTTTTTTTTTATTTTATGATTCAGATGTATGTATAAAGTGAAGAAAATTTTAATAATAGATGTTTGTATTTAAAAACGTGGTAGTTAATAATGTCTTTTTAGACATTAAAGTGATACTGTGTGTTACCCGGTTAAATAAATTTTCGAACAAGAACGCGGAATAATTCGTGTAACATAGAAATTTAACATGTTTTATGCGTGTATGCATTATAAACGAATGGTTGAACGACGATTCAAAAGATTTCTGTAATAGGCTTGAAATAAACGAAAATTTGGGTCAAAAATTGAGGATCATCAAATCACATTTACTAACACTGCACAATAAAATAATATTCTCAATTGGATTAAAAGAAGAAAAGAACGTATTTTATTATTTTGATTTTCTAATATCAATGGAAATTCATCTTTCTAACCGATGATAATATTATGATGAAGTTACGATCTAAACTAGATTTACACAAAATATTATGTGCATGATCTAGTTGATATCAATCATCATTTGATTTCAAAGGATGTTCTGAAAAGAAATGATAGATCTTTGATTCTTTGTACACGTGAATTGAATCACGTTTATTTTGAAGTTTTTATTTTTTTTTTTTTTTAAATTGCGCAAGAAAATTTGCGAAACGTTATTAAATTTTTTTTTTTTTTAGATACTACGCCCGCCAAAAATGTAAAAGTAAAATAAAAAAAAAGAAATTATTTTGATGTTAAGACATTAAAATCGGTACCAATATCTGTAACATCGGGAAATCAAGAGTTTTTGGGTGGAAGGATATAAAGCCGCGATCTATGTACACTAGTTGAAGTAAAGGATCAAGAAAAAAAAAAAAAAAAAAGAGTAAAAGTTGTGCGGCTATTTAGATGTAATAAAACATAAAGAGAATTAAAAAAAATGAATATATATATAAAAATGATCTATTTCTCGATTTTCTCAATCGTTTGAACCGTCGTTTACAGCGTCATCCTCTTCTTGTACCCAATCGCCGCCGACATTTTCTTGTTCGAACTCGATTCCTTCATCTTCGAGCGTTCCTTCCGGTAAATTTGCATTGTGATATTCGATAATCGCGTTTGGTTTTGAAAGGTCGATCAGTTTCCCAGATTCTACGGCGCGAAGTCCCATCTGACGTGCCTTCTGGAAGATTTGAATTCTACAAAATTTATCGTGATTAATTATAGTATGATTAAATCTCTTTTAATAAAATGTTGGAATAAAAATTTTTTGCTCTTGAACCAAATTCAATATAAAGTTCTCATAATAATACCGAAATCAACTCTACGTTTTAAGAAATAGATCAATCGTAATAAATACAAAACTCCAACATACCTGGTACGCTCAGGTTCAAATTCTTTAATAATTAGTTCCCAATCACCATTGTATTTGTCATGGGCAGCTTTCAACCGTTCTACTTCATCATCTGTCCAAAGTTGTCTTGGTGCTCGTCTATGTTTTGGTGCTTTTTGATTTTCGGAACTGTAAGCCTCTTCTCCACTAGCTGAAATATCATCCCTCCCATGTCTTTTTAATTTTTTATTACTATAATTTTGGGGACTAACAGCATATCCACCCAAGCCCGGATTTAGCATACCACTGATTACCATTCCAGTCTCGTTGATAATATGGAGAGGATCCGTTCCCGGCATTGGCGGTGCTAGAAATAATGAAACATCGGTTTCTTTTAAAAGATTCGAGATACCTTGATAGTAATCGGCAGATAATTCGAGACACTTCTTTTGCTATTAATTTTGTAATTTGATTGAAAAATATTAAGGCGCAAATAGGTTAAAGAAGAATAAGATAGGAAATGTTAACGATAATCCACTCAAAAACAAAGGAAAAAAAAAAGTATGTAAATACTTTAAAAAAGATACTCACAAACTCGTAAAAGTTATATACAGTTTTTCTTCGTGGGACGTGCATTTTGTTATGATAAGTTTTGTTAACTTTGAACCTAAATTGAGTAGCTGGAGTTGATAGTGAAGTTGATGTAGGCGTAGTTTTAACAGTGACTTCTTCTTGTGGACTATTATTACTATTATTCATTTTATTATTCAATCACACAACAGGCAAAAGAACAGGTATCAATATAGTCGGACAGAAATCTTGTTCTGTTTTTCTCGTATTTACAAAAACTACCACCTAGCTTAGTGTATTATTTTATAATTTATAGTCTTTGTATTCGGCCGATTGTTTCCGTTTATTTTAGCCCAAGGATCTGGTCACGTACCTCAAATTCTGGTCAAAAATACAATAGATGCAACTAGAAAATCAAAATTTTGTCCAGTAATATATTTTATTTTTTGAATGGTTGCTCTTTTTTTTATGTAATTTATGTTTTTTACTATAATTGATTTGCAAGTCTTAGAAATTTACATGGAAATGAAAATATATTCTAATCATTACTTAAGATTTGGTTAGTTCAATATTGTGTGATATTATTAGCAATTCGAACCTAATATTATCTTTTTAAATTTATATTTTGAAATTAAAAAATATTTATTGTGTAACACAAATTATTTTAAAATATAATTTAAAATTACCAATTAGAATTCCTTTTATATTTTTTTTTTAAAAAAAAAACTAACGATGTAAATCGATTTGCAAAGAAAGGAACTTTCAATCAAAAAAAAAAAAAAAATTCTGATTTGCAATTCTTTCATCGTTCTTTTTAAACCCATTGGTAAGACATCTAGATATTGTAATGTTAATCTAATCTGGTTGATTGATATGTATTATTTATAGCCTCGACCTTTTGTATTCTCAAGCTAGCCTCAATGGTTTCAGCTTCAGAAATTTCACGAAGAAGGACATTGCACTCATTTAACTCTTGAATCTCTTTTTTTATATTCATACATAATGTGTGCATTGACCGGGCGACATCATGTGTCTGATTTGAAGGCGTATTAAAGGTTGATTAATTAATTAATTAATTACGATTCACTTCAAATGAAAATACGGTAATTTTACCAATGGTGACTCCATGTCCCATTTTCGTAAAACGTCCTCAGCTGCTATCGAACACGTGATAATCTCATTCTTTAATTGATCTGTAAAAAAAAAATAATGATAATGAGCAAATTGAAAGAATTAGATAATAATTTTTGTGCTAGACATACCTAATTCACCGGTTATTATATTAGCAATTGGCATTGCTGTTGTAGTGCTTGCTAAAGATGACGCAAATAAAATGTAACGTTTCTTAAAATTTTCAAAATGTTCGTTGATTTGTAATAAAATGTCTCGCTAAACGTTAAAAAAAAAAAATAATAAATATTTATATCCTAATTTCTAATTTCTATGCTTGGAAATATTTTTAGTTACCAATTTGGGATTACCTGAAGCTTTAAAGTCGTAT